TTGTCTTTCAAACTGAGGAAATGCTTTGAATCAGGGAAAATGGACTCCTCCTTTGCTTATAATCAGGTGACGTATCCTGATTGGCCGCTCGCTCTGGAGGAGGCGGACCTTAAACCTCTCCATCCAATCCTTTCAGCTGTATTTTCAGAAGGCTGGGACGCAGCTGCTGGACCTTCTGGATGTTGGAGGTGATCGACGGTAAAACATTTGCTCAGTCAGGAGACACGTCTCAGCAGGGCTGAGTTCCTGTCATTCCTCATGACTTTGCACTAATATCAGCTGATGGTTCATTTCTGAAACCGTCTCCAGAGCTTCTAGAGGACTTCCTAGAGCAGAGCAGACCTTCGTTCTCAGCTGGTTGAGCCATGTTGGCTAAAATCAAACCTCAGATATCAGAACTGGATGTTAAACAAAAGCAGAACGGTGCAAATAGAAGCGCATCTCTAGGTGCATCTAGATATGCAGCACTAGATCAGCTTCATTCCAGCTGCCAAGCATTGAATCCTGTTTACAGACACAGAGGAGGACAGATGGGAGGACTCTCCTTCAGGAGGAGCCAGGTGTTTCTCTCCTTCAGGAGGAGCCAGATGTTTCTCTCCTTCAGGAGGAGCCAAATGTTTCTCTCCTTCAGGAGGAGCCAGGTGTTTCTCTCCTTCAGGAGGAGCCAGGTGTTTCTCTCCTTCAGGAGGAGCCAGATGTTTCTCTCCTTCAGGAGGAGCCAAATGTTTCTCTCCTTCAGGAGGAGCCAGGTGTTTCTCTCCTTCAGGAGGAGCCAGATGTTTCTCTCCTTCAGGAGGAGCCAGGTGTTTCTCTCCTTCAGGAGGAGCCAGGTGTTTCTCTCCTTCAGGAGGAGCCAGATGTTTCTCTCCTTCAGGAGGAGCCAAATGTTTCTCTCCTTCAGGAGGAGCCAGGTGTTTCTCTCCTTCAGGAGGAGCCAGATGTTTCTCTCCTTCAGGAGGAGCCAGGTGTTTCTCTCCTTCAGGAGGAGCCAGGTGTTTCTATCCTTCTGGAGGAGCCAGGTGTTTCTCTCCTTCAGGAGGAGCCAGGTGTTTCTCTCCTTCTGGAGGAGCCAGATGTTTCTCTCCTTCAGGAGGAGCCAGGTGTTTCTCTCCTTCAGGAGGAGCCAGGTGTTTCTCTCCTTCAGGAGGAGCCAGGTGTTTCTCTCCTTCAGGAGGAGCCAGGTGTTTCTCTCCTTCTGGAGGAGCCAGATGTTTCTCTCCTTCAGGAGGAGCCAGGTGTTTCTCTCCTTCAGGAGGAGCCAGGTGTTTCTCTCCTTCAGGAGGAGCCAGATGTTTCTCTCCTTCAGGAGGAGCCAGATGATTCTCTCCTTTAGGAGGAGCCAGATGTTTCTCTCCTTCAGGAGGAGCCAGATGATTCTGTCCTTCAGGAGGAGCCAGATGTTTTCCTCCTTCAGGAGGAGGCAGATAATTCTCTCCTTCAGGAGGAGCCAGATGATTCTCTCCTTTAGGAGGAGCCGGATGTTTCTCTCCTTTAGGAGGAGCCAGATGTTTCTCTCCTTCAGGAGGAGCCAGATGTTTCTCTCCTTCAGGAGGAGCCAGATGATTATCTCCTTCAGGAGTAGCCAGATGATTATCTCCTTTAGGAGGAGCCGGATGTTTCTCTCCTTTAGGAGGAGCCAGATGTTTCTCTCCTTCAGGAGGAGCCAGGTGTTTCTCTCCTTCAGGAGGAGCCAGGTGTTTCTCTCCTTCAGGAGGAGCCAGGTGTTTCTCTCCTTCAGGAGGAGCCAGGTGTTTCTCTCCTTCTGGAGGAGCCAGATGTTTCTCTCCTTCAGGAGGAGCCAGGTGTTTCTCTCCTTCAGGAGGAGCCAGGTGTTTCTCTCCTTCAGGAGGAGCCAGATGTTTCTCTCCTTCAGGAGGAGCCAGATGATTCTCTCCTTTAGGAGGAGCCAGATGTTTCTCTCCTTCAGGAGGAGCCAGATGATTCTGTCCTTCAGGAGGAGCCAAATGTTTTCCTCCTTCAGGAGGAGCCAGATAATTCTCTCCTTCAGGAGGAGCCAGATGATTCTCTCCTTTAGGAGGAGCCGGATGTTTCTCTCCTTTAGGAGGAGCCAGATGTTTCTCTCCTTCAGGAGGAGCCAGATGTTTCTCTCCTTCAGGAGGAGCCAGATGATTATCTCCTTCAGGAGGAGCCAGATGATTATCTCCTTTAGGAGGAGCCAGATGTTTCTCTCCTTCAGGAGGAGCCAGATGATTCTGTCCTTCAGGAGGAGCCAGATGTTTTCCTCCTTCAGGAGGAGGCAGATAATTCTCTCCTTCAGGAGGAGCCAGATGATTCTCTCCTTTAGGAGGAGCCGGATGTTTCTCTCCTTTAGGAGGAGCCAGATGTTTCTCTCCTTCAGGAGGAGCCAGATGTTTCTCTCCTTCAGGAGGAGCCAGATGATTATCTCCTTCAGGAGTAGCCAGATGATTATCTCCTTTAGGAGGAGCCAGATGTTTCTCTCCTTCAGGAGGAGCCAGATGTTTCTCTCCTTCAGGAGGAGCCAGATGATTATCTCCTTCAGGAGTAGCCAGATGATTATCTCCTTCAGGAGGAGCCAGATGTTTTCCTCCTTCAGGAGGAGCCAGATGATTCTCTCCTTCAGGAGGAGCCAGATGATTCTCTCCTTCAGGAGGAGCCAGATGATTCTCTCCTTCAGGAGGAGCCAGATGATTCTCTCCTTCAGGAGGAGCCAGATGATTCTCTCCTTCAGGAGGAGCCAGATGATTCTCTCCTTTAGGAGGAGCCAGATGTTTCTCTCCTTCAGGAGGAGCCAGATGATTCTGTCCTTCAGGAGGAGCCAGATGTTTTCCTCCTTCAGGAGGAGCCAGATGATTCTCTCCTTCAGGAGGAGCCAGATGTTTTCCTCCTTCAGGAGGAGCCAGATGTTTCTCTCCTTCAGGAGGAGCCAGATAAGTCTCTCCTTCAGGAGGAGCCTGATGATTCTCTCCTTCAGGAGGAGCCAGATGATTCTCTCCTTCAGGAGGAGCCAGATGATTCTCTCCTTCAGGAGGAGCCAGATGTTTCTCTCCTTCAGGAGGAGCCAGATGATTCTTTCCTTCAGGAGGAGCCAGATGATTCTCTCCTTCAGGAGGAGCCAGATGTTTCTCTCCTTCAGGAGGAGCCAGATGTTTCTCTCCTTCAGGAGGAGCCAGATGTTTTCCTCCTTCAGGAGGAGCCAGATGATTCTCTCCTTCAGGAGGAGCCAGATGTTTCTCTCCTTCAGGAGGCGCCAGATGTTTCTCTCCTTCAGGAGGAGCCAGATTTTTCTCTCCTTCAGGAGGAGCCAGATGATTCTGTCCTTCAGGAGGAGCCATGTTTCTCTCCTTCAGGAGGAGCCAGATGTTTCTCTCCTTCAGGAGGAGCCAGATGATTCTGTCCTTCAGGAGGAGCCAGATGTTTCTCTCCTTCAGGAGGAGCCATGTTTCTCTCCTTCAGGAGGAGCCAGATGTTTCTCTCCTTCAGGAGGAGCCAGATGTTTCTCTCCTTCAGGAGGAGCCAGATGTTTCTCTCCTTCAGGAGGAGCCAGATGTTTCTCTCCTTCAGAAGGAGCCAGATGATTCTGTCCTTCAGGAGGAGCCAGATGTTTCTCTCCTTCAGGAGGAGCCAGATGTTTCTCTCCTTCAGGAGGAGCCAGATGTTTCTCTCCTTCAGGAGGAGCCAGATGATTCTGTCCTTCAGGAGGAGCCAGATGTTTTCCTCCTTCAGGAGGAGCCAGATGATTCTCTCCTTCAGGAGGAGCCAGATGTTTTCCTCCTTCAGGAGGAGCCAGATGTTTCTCTCCTTCAGGAGGAGCCAGATAAGTCTCTCCTTCAGGAGGAGCCTGATGATTCTCTCCTTCAGGAGGAGCCAGATGATTCTCTCCTTCAGGAGGAGCCAGATGTTTCTCTCCTTCAGGAGGAGCCAGATGATTCTTTCCTTCAGGAGGAGCCAGATGATTCTCTCCTTCAGGAGGAGCCAGATGTTTCTCTCCTTCAGGAGGAGCCAGATGTTTCTCTCCTTCAGGAGGAGCCAGATGTTTTCCTCCTTCAGGAGGAGCCAGATGATTCTCTCCTTCAGGAGGAGCCAGATGTTTCTCTCCTTCAGGAGGCGCCAGATGTTTCTCTCCTTCAGGAGGAGCCAGATTTTTCTCTCCTTCAGGAGGAGCCAGATGATTCTGTCCTTCAGGAGGAGCCAGATGATTCTGTCCTTCAGGAGGAGCCAGATGTTTTCCTCCTTCAGGAGGAGCCAGATGATTCTCTCCTTCAGGAGGAGCCAGATGATTCTCTCCTTCAGGAGGAGCCAGATGATTCTGTCCTTCAGGAGGAGCCAGATGTTTTCCTCCTTCAGGAGGAGCCAGATGATTCTCTCCTTCAGGAGGAGCCAGATGATTCTCTCCTTCAGGAGGAGCCAGATGTTTCTCTCCTTCAGGAGGAGCCAGATGATTCTCTCCTTCAGGAGGAGCCAGATGATTCTCTCCTTCAGGAGGAGCCAGATGTTTCTCTCCTTCAGGAGGAGCCATGTTTCTCTCCTTCAGGAGGAGCCAGATGTTTTTCTCCTTCAGGAGGAGCCAGGTGATTCTGTCCTTCAGGAGGAGCCAGATGATTCTCTCCTTCAGGAGGAGCCAGATGATTCTCTCCTTCAGGAGGAGCCAGATAATTATCTCCTGCAGGAGGAGCCAGATGATTCTCTCCTTCAGGAGGAGCCAGATGATTCTCTCCTTCAGGAGGAGCCAGATGATTCTCTCCTTCAGGAGGAGCCAGATGATTCTCTCCTTCAGGAGGAGCCAGATGTTTCTCTCCTTCAGGAGGAGCCAGATGTTTCTCTCCTTCAGGAGGAGCCAGATGTTTTTCTCCTTCAGGAGGAGCCAGATGTTTTTCTCCTTCAGGTTTCTCCATGCAGCCTTTGATCAACGTGGCCGCGCGCTTTCAGAGAAAGACCAACTAATGAGGTCCAGCAGGAGAAGCAGGAGGTAAAGATGGCGGTCTGTGACAAAGAGAAGACAGACGGACGGACAGACTCACCCCCGCTGGAAGCGAACAGGAGGAGCTCCCTCCTCATCGCAAACTTAAACTCCTTCAAACCACCAAGCGGAGGCCGCAGCGGCTCCAGGCCGGACTAATGAACCCTCCGTCCGGTCCGGTCCGGTCCGGTCCGGTTCGGTTCGGCTCCTTCTTTCTGAATCCTTTGCGTCGAACCGGCTGCTAGAAAACTCCTCGTTTCAACTTTTTTCTCCTGATCTTTCTGATCCCTCCCTCTGCCTGCTCCTCCCCCATGCTCGCCCTGCTCCTGCTCCTCCTCCTCCCCCCGCCTGCAGGACACATCTGGACCAGCTGCTCCTTTTCTTTCTTTATTTACCTTTAATCTACAATTATTTACCAAAAATAGGCTCAACTAAGATCTTTAAAATGAACTGATCTATTTAGTCAACATCTGGAATGAACTTTCTAATTCCAGTTATGTTAGTTTGATAAAACGCGTTTGTTTCTTTTTTATTCTCTTCCAACTGAAATTCAGTTTAAACAAAAAATATATTAAACAATTTATTTGGCACAGTAAAAAAAAACAGGAGTTAGATTTAAGATTCTAGACCAATTAGAGACATTTTAAGTATAATCTGTTACTTTAAAAACAATTTAACACTGAAATAAAATGAGGTTTTAGCATTAATGTTGTACATTTAATTTTTAATAAAAAATTTATTAAAATAAATATAAATTTTTTCAATTTAAAATCTAAAGTGTTTTTAAAGTAGAGAACAACAATCGTTCAGTTTGGTTTATAGACATTTTCCTGATTCCCATATTTTCTCAAACCCCTGAACTGATGGTTTGTTCTTTTCTTTCTTTTTCCTGTCTTAATGTTGGCAGTGGGCTTTAGGCTGCCCTGCAAGGCTTTAAACCTGGGTTTAACCGGAGACTAAGCCATTCTCAAGCACATATCAAGCAGCTCATTTTGAGCCTGGATCCAGATTGATTGTTGATTCTGTTCATGGTGGAGAATCCTGCTTCACAGCAGCAGGTTGAGCCAAACATCCTCTAAATGTGCAGGGTCATCTTTGAGCACGCCATTTCACTTTTCTTTCACCAGTTCACCGCAGTTCTTCCAGCAGTCCACACTTTCTCTGCTCTCTTTTTCTCATGGTCTTCTCCTTCTTTCCCATCGCCCGGCTTGCCACAGGTTTGCCTGCTGTGCCTAAAAGTAGCAGCAGCAGCAACCCAGACTGACAGCTCATTGGCTCATTTGGATCACGTGCAGCCTGGAGCCGGACGCTCCCCAGGGCTTTACCGTATTAACAGGAGAAGAGGAGCAAGGGAAATTAAGCACTACCGTTGGACAACATGCAGTAATTTATAAATGTTTTAAATCAGGGTGGGTCTGGATTTGCCAGCAGGTAGATCTGGATCCGGACCGCGGTCCGCTGATCCGTGACCTCTGGTCTACAGTTTCCAGAAGACCAGGGGACTACTAGAGTCCAGCACAACTAGACTATTTGGTTAGACTATGTGACAACAGATATGAAGCAACCTGGAAAGATTTGGAACTTTATTTATAAATACCATTACAGGCCGTATGGCTGATAATAACTTATTCAATTCTATTCAGTTTATTTCTATAGCGCCAATTCACAACACAAGTCATCTTAAGGCTCTTTACGGTTCAGCCAGCTCATACAGTCATATTGATTCAAAGTTTTCCATCTAAGGAAAACCAGCTGATTGCATCGACTCATTGACTCTTCAGCAATCCCTCACACTAAGCATGCTTGTAGCGACAGTGGAGAGGAAAAACTCCCTTTGAACAGGAAGAAACCTCCAGCAGAACCAGGCTCAGTGTGAGCGGCCATCTGCTGAGGCCCACTGGGGTTCAAGGAGACAGAAGCAGACATAGAAAAAGAAGCTATATGTTTCAGAGCAGTCAGCTTAAGCTGGTTATTTTTTCTGTTTAGCTCTTTCCATATTCGGCTATTTATCCCTTAAGAGGTATTAGTTTGGTGTGTTTACCATTTTGCAGGCAGTTTACGGTTTTCTTGCTTATTTCTTAGTGTTTTAAGTTGCTTTTATCTAGACTTCATGTATTTTATAGTTTACTTTTATATTATTGGACAGATTTTTCACATTTATCCCGTTTAAACTTTTCTCTCTTAGCCTTCAGTTAATCAGCAGATTCCGTTCAGCTGAGTTTACGTTTAAATCCCCCGTTTGTCTTTACAGGAAACTTGTTTCCTTTCTTTTCTTTGAAACGTAGAAAGTTTCACGCTACCCGAACTTGGCTTCTTCTTCTTATGAATGGTAAACTCTGCAGTCATCTGCATAACGGTGAAAGAACATAGATCTAATGCGCCCCTCCTTTAATGTTGAAAACAGGGAATCAAATGTTAGGATCCTTTACATCTGAAAGCACTGAAAGAATGAGACGATTTCCTGCATCAGTTGCTAAAAATATTTCAGTAAAAATCCTTAAAAGAGCAGATTTTGTGATTCAAACACTTGGGAATGAATTCCATTTATCTCCTGCTTCTATTCATTAAATTGGATAAAACTTTCTCTGGTATTTTTTCATAGTCAGGAGGCGTCATGATTCTGACCTTTGTGGATCTATGTTTGCGTTTCTTTTTGAGTTTTCCGTTGCACTGGGATTTTCTGTTTTCCTGGTCATTGTTTTTTTTCCCATTTTGTGTTTTTGTAGTTTTTTTTCTAGCTGTTGTGTATTGATTGTGTTGCTCTCTGTCGCCCCCTTGTGTCAGTCTCCTTCCCCTTAGCTTCTAGTTTCTTCTATCCACACCTTTTCTCTGTCAGCTCATTAGTTTTAAGTAGCAATGCATCATGGGAAAAATGGACATTATTGTATCGTTATTGTTAAAGCAGTGATTTACAATAATTTTACATCTATAAAGAATTAAAAGAAGAAATGACAAACTTTTTACAATGATGGAACTAAAACGCACTCTTCAGAAAACCAAAATGTCAGCACCAGGAAACGATACGATTTGTTATGTAGTGATAAACCAACTCAGTGAAAATTCAAAGGATGTTTTACTAGAAATATATAATAAAGTCGGGAGAATGAGAGGCTGTGCTGCAAAAACCGGAAAATATTCTATAAATCCAGGAAATTATAGACTAATCTGTTTAACATGTGCAAGATCATGGAGAAATTGATAAAGGTTCACATGGAAAAGAAAGGATATTTAGCCAAACATCAAAGTGGTTTTAGGAAAGGAAGAAATACGATGGATCCAGCTGCATGTTTAGATCATGAAATGCGAAAGAACAAATAAAATGTCGTCTGCTTTGACATAAGGCAGGATGTGGAGAGAAGGATTGTTAATTAGACTCTCAATTAGGTATCAAAGGATGAATATATAGATGGATTAAGGACTTTTTACAAGAGAGAAGTTAGAATAGGGAAGAATTACTGAAGGAGATATAAGTCTGTTATTATTCTCCATAAAAATGAATAATGTTTTAGGGAAATAGGGAATGGGATGAAGTTTTCACTTTGGAAGAGGGGGAGAAATCTGAAAGTTTAGCTTCTCATCCCGTTCAAAGATGTCCTGTAGATCGGTATGATTGTTCGATGGACACCTGAACGACTTCCCTCAGCGAGACTGAAGAAACGCTCCAAGAGATGGAGACTCGGATGCAGCAGCTATCTGCCTGAAGAGTGGAAACTTATACCTCGCCATCCGATACAAAACTTAAATATTTAATAATGATGCATCCAAATTTTACCCACAGGAAGGAACGTCAGGAATGGAAAGAAGATGGCTTCAGAAAACCTGATCTTAATGTCCGCCCTCCACACAGCATCTCCAGCTAAAACACGGCTGGCCTTTTCTGTTCTCCTTCAATGGCTGTTCTCACACTTCAGTGATCTGACTGGGATTCCTATTGAGGAGAAGCTGCCATCATGAGTCAGAACAACATGGAGTTCTTCCAACAGCAGAGGACTGGCTGGCTGTGCTTCGGTGGGGCAGCGGTTAGTGCGCATGACCCATGTATGGAGGCCTGAGTCCGGTGCTCCTTGTCTCTCTCTCATCCCACTTTCCTTTCAGCCTACGGCTGGAAAAACGAGCCTCTAGTGCCGTAAAAAATCAATAAATAAAAAACTGTGCTTGCTTGCTTTAAGGATGGAAAAAACTTTCCTTAAGATTGTTGCATCAGTTACTCTGCATATGCATAAACCACTCTCTCCCCCCACCAGGTACTTTTTAACTGTTATTAACCAGAAACAAGTCACTGGTTTTATCCTATTGTTATTATTATTTGTTAGGACATTAAGTTATTTTACACTCCATAGACGGCTCCATATCAGGATCTGGATGGAGAAAAAAGACTCACAATGCTTCCTACTGAGCAAAATGTGATGTAGGCCAGAGCTTCACTGCGTTACTCGCTGCTTCCTGCCGCTAGTTCAGGAAATACGTTTCTTTCTCTTTAAATTATATCACCTGTCTTTGCATTTTGCATCATAAATTCAAACTGCTTTCTCAGTGTTGAGCATAGCAGCGTTTTCTTTGTCATCATGCATAAATTCAACTTATCTGGTTTTTATTCCCCAGATGTCAGCAATGGGGGTGAAGTAGCTTCAGGACCCAAATCTTGTTGAATTGATAGGACAACTGAGGAACACATCCAAAAATACAAAGAACTAAAAAAAAACAACAGAAAACTTCAGGGGAAACTCACGAGGGGAACCAGAGACGAGGAAGCAACTACCAATAAGAAGAAACAATGAGTGACTGCAGAGGTGGAGTATATAAGGGGAACTGAACAAAGGATGGACTAATGAGCTGAATATGGAGCAGGTGTGAGTGGAACTAACTAGAAGGAAGCAAAGGGGAAAGGAAACAAGCACCAGGGGGCAGCAGAGAGTAACTAAGACTGCTTGAATATAATGGAGAATAAACCAAAGATTAACAAACTGAATAACTAAAAACTGAGAGTCCTAGAAGGGCAGAACCATCCAGTCAACAGCTGCTGACATCAGAGGATCTGCCAACCTGCCAAGCACACCTCGACTAGTGGTGCCAGCTATAATTTCCCCCTATTTTATAAAAGTTATTTTATTTATAACGACTTGCTGGGGTTGAGAGAGGACTTTTTCTCCTAAAAAATGTTTTTCTTTGAGGTATTGATGGACATTATGGTGATGAAATACAATAATATTGAA